CTAGAACTCGTAATATTACTACACTGGGACTTCACTGTTTTCCTGCCAAAACCCATACCACTAACTATTCCTAGTTTAAAGTCCTAACTGCTCCCTCCACTGCAGTTGCCAGTGCTACCACCCCAGACCTAGATAAGTGAACCCCATTCCTGGCATACATGTTATTTCTGCCATAGAAGAGGTCCCAGTTGTCAATGAATGTTACCGCATTTTCCTTACAGTATTTGTCCAGCCGGCAATTGACACCAATTGCCCTGGACAACCATTCATTTCCAACTCCTCTCCTTGGCAAAACACCACATATGACAGGGTTCCCACCCTTACTCCTAATTATTTCTATTGCTGACCTATACCTGCTAATCAGGTCTTCACTCCTACGTCTGCTAACATCGTTGCCTCCAGCACTGAGACAGATAATAGGATTGCTCCCATTACCTCTCATGATGTCATCCAGACGGCTAACAATATCCTCCATCCCAGCCCCAGGAAAGCAAACTCTCTGTCTCCTACTCCTGTCCTTCAAGCAGAACGCCCTATCCATATACCTAACTTGGCTATCCCCAACAACAACAATATTCTTACCTTCCTTAATGTCGTTCGTCGTGACGTTCCCAGTAGTCGACTCTCATTCATCGGGTAGCACTGAGAATGTATTAGATGTTTCCACAACAGTTTCCACGGCTGTCTCTTTCTTCTTCATCGTTTCTACCTTTCCATTTGTCCTCTTGATCGTCAACTTCGTTCCCTGCTGTCCAGCCACTGACCAGTTTCCCTTCTTGACCTGAGGACTCAAAACAGGAGGACTACTACGAATCTTCTTGTTTTCCTCGGTCAGTCGCCGAATCTCCATCTTCGCCATCCTCAATTCTTCCTTAAGCTGTTGGTAAAGTTGCTCGATGGAGGGCATCTTTCTTCAATTCGTAGAGAGCGCTCAAACAGGTCTTCACAGAGCTAAGTACACGTCACCACTGCGCAAAAGCCAACCCAATCAGGAGCTACTGCTCAGCACGTCTGCACGGCCCAACAGCGACATATAAAGTCACTGGACACTTCCCAGAACTGCTACAGCTTCTGTAAAGCTCGTAGTTGTTGTGTGGGGGTGGACTTGTAAATATGCTGAGTCACCGGCATAATTAGTGTCTCAGTGACAAATCACACCATCACTCATCACCCTCACTGCCTGTCAACTTCCTCCCCACCCCACCAACCCACATGGAAATAAGCCACTGTCTGAATTTTTTTGGGTTATCCTAGGTTGATGGTCTCCTTCTTTCCTTCCCTCCTTTTCATCTCTTCCTTTCTTCCTTCCTTCCTTCCTTCCTTCCTTCCTTCCTTCCTTCTGGTTTCCTGGGCATTGCTTTCAGCCACAAACTTTTCAAAACCATGAAATTCATCTTCACTGACACTTCCATCTGTGTTTGAGCTGTCACTTCAGAACAAAAGAGCCCCAATTAGCTGAGGAGTGAGGAGTTTCTTAGTGCTAGACATGGTGAACAAGGTGTAATAGAATGGCTTTCCCACAATGCACCACTGGGTCCCCAATTTTTTTTTGTACCACGCACATTAACCAAGGAGACCCATTTTCTCACATCTAGGCCTACCAGCCTTTTCCTGCTTGATTTGAGGACGCTAGAATTTATGCGTACTAGTACGTCACTAACACTGGTGCGTAAGATGTACTAGTACGTCAAAGACTCTGAAAGGGTTAAAAAAAAATGATTGTTTCTGATGAAAATGTTAAGATTAATTTTCTAATTGTTTTAAGCCCCCAAAAAAATTTTTGCGATCAGTACTTATGGAGATATAGAGGCGTAAAGTTGGCAGAAAATGAGCCGCGACGAATGCCGCTCATCCGGTTAAGTTTTTTTACTCCCATTCGATGGTATCTTGCTTTTTCCACTACTTGATTTTTTCAGGTAACTTATGTGGCCTGTGAGACCAAAGTAAGGTGCAATGCACATACATACATTCGTTGTATATAACTCAATAAGTGCACAAACATAATTATCAATAGTATATTGTTTACAAAACTTGCTTATGCAAGCAAACAATACAAAAATTTTTTTATTACTATTGTTCTATAATATACATACATGTATATACAAATGTACAGTCACTGGACATGTTCCTAGAAGTTCTGCAGCTTGTGGAACTCTTTGAAACATGGTTTCATACACAATGGTGTTTTACACTCCTCGCACATAAAACGAGTGTCTGCATTTTTGTGAGCTTTTTTTTTTATGTGCACAGACAAAACACCTCGTCTGAGCAGTTTTCTTCATTGTAGTAGCAGACAGTTGTGTTAGGTAGTTATCCTAGGTAAATGTGTCATCATTCCTTCCTACCTACCTACGTACCTTTCTTTCTGTCTTCATTCTTTCTTTCTTCATTCTTTCCTTCCTTCCTTCCTTCTGGTTTTTATAATATATATACATGTATACAGTGGACCCCAGCCTTACGAACGTATCGCATTACGTTAAATCCACCATACGAAGCATTTGAATGCAAAAATTTTTCCTCGCCTCACGATAAAAAACTCGCCTTGTGTAATTTGTCCAGAACGTGTCCCACGTGTGGCCTCAGCACCAGTGTTTACAAGCTAGCCAGTGCGGTCGCATCTATGCATACATTCGGTACATTTCACATTATCCCAGTGTTTTTAGTGCTTGTAACTGCAAAATAATCACCATGGACCACCAAGAAAGCTTCTAGTGCCATCCCTGTGGTAAAAAGGGCGAGAATTAGTATGGAATTGAAAAAAGAGATTAAGGAAATGTGTGCAAAGTGGGTTGAACTGCAAACCTTTACAGATGAAAATCACCCTGACACAGCTATTGCAAGCCGTGTTGGCAACCTGTACAGTGACAATGTTATGGCCCATTTTAGGAAACCTCTTAAAAGGAACGGGAGGTACATAGCTTTATGGACAGATTTGTTGTGCAACAGAGGCCCAGTGACTCTCAAGTGGTCCTAGTGGCATTGAAAGAAGAAGGGAAGTAACCCCAGAAAAGACTTGCTACCTCAAGTCCTAATGGAAGGGGATTCCCCTTCTAAACAATAACTTCACACTCTCCCCTCCTCCCATCCCATCAATCATCACCAGATCTTCAATAAAGGTAAGTGTCATGTATTCTAATCTTAGCAGAGCAGTAATTGTGCATGTCTTCTTCAGTTTGTGTGTATTAAAATTAATATTTCATGTGGTAAAATTTTTTTTTTTCGTACTTTGGGGTGTCAGGAACGGATTAATTTGATTTCCATTATTTCTTATGGGGAAAATTAATTCAGCTAACGATAATTTCGGCTTACGATGAGCTCTCAGGAGCGGATTAATATCGTAAGGCGGGGGTCCACTGTATAGTCACTGGACACTTTCATATAACTGCTATTATCCTCAGCAAGCTTGTGTTGTGTGAGAGTGTGTGGACTTCTAAATGTGCTGAGTCAGGGTCTGGCAGCTGTCAAAATGACATATTGTATCATTACTCACTCCCCCTACTGCCTGTCAAAACAATGGGGTTGGATGCTCGTTTCCCCTCCATCCTCCTACCTAATTATCTTTCTTCTTCTTTCTCCTTCATTCTATTTCTTTCTCTTGCATTCTCCTTCATTCTCTTTCATTCTCTCTTATTCTCTCTCATTCTCTCTCATTCAGTTTTGTTCTCTCTCATTCTCTTTCATTCTCCTTCATCCTTGTTCATTCTCTTTCATTCTCCTTCATTCTCCTTCATTCTCCTTCATTCTCTTTCATTCTCTTTCATTCTCCTTCATTCTTTCATTCTCCTTCATTCTTCATTCTCCTTCATTCTTCTGGTATCCTGGGTATTGCTTTGGTCACAAACTCCTCAAAACCATGAAACTGATCTTCACTAAATAAGATAAGATAAGATTTCGTTCGGATTTTTAACCCCGGAGGATTAGCCACCCAGGATAACCCAAGAAAGTCAGTGCGTCATCGAGGACTGTCTAACTTATTTCCATTGGGGTCCTTAATCTTGTCCCCCAGGATGCGACCCACACCAGTCGACTAATACCCAGGTACCTATTTGCTGCTAGGTGAACAGGACAACAGGTGTAAGGAAACGTGTCGAAATGTTTCCACCCGCCGGGAATCGAACCCGGGCCCTCCGTGTGTGAAGCGGGAGCTTTAGCCACCAGGCCACCGGGCCACACACTTCCATCTGTGTTAGAGCATCACTTGAGAAGAGAAGAGTCCCAGGCATGATGAACAAGGACTACTGAAATGGCATTCCCACTATGCACCACTGGCTCCCAATTTTTTTTTATATGGTGCACACTGACCATGGAAACCCATTCTTTAACATGTGGGTCTACCAGCATTCTCCTGCTTGATTTGAAGTTGCTAGAATTTTGGCGTATTAATACGTCAAACACATTGGCTCGTAAGACGTATATATACAACCAAAACATTCAAAGGGTCAAGATGAGTCTGGGTGTATGTCATAAACCCCGTAACTGTCCAAATGTTGATCTACCATGTTTCATGGCTTATAAGATGCGGCTTATAGGACTTGTTTTAGTTTTAATGGCTTGGCATTGGATGTAACTGGGAGAGCTACAGCCCACCCCACTCCCCAAATTTATAGCTCTCATCACTGACCTTCAGTTTATAGGTTGCAGGGTGGGTTTTGGAGACAAGGGGAAAAATGCATCTAATAAGCCGAGAAATATGGCATGTTTCCACTGCTAGAGCTCCAAATATTTTGAAAAAAAAAAAAATTTACATAGTCTTCACATCTCTACTGCTTCTGCTAACTCTTGTGTACTCAGCTGAAGAAGCTTACTGTGTAAGCGAAACATTTCTGAATAAAGATACCTAATTATTGCATGTGTCATACCTATAAACCTGTTGGTATTGTATATTAATTTCATATTTACTCTGCTATGTTTTAACAATAGAAACAAGTTAGCAAATACAGAGGCTACAGTGTAGCATTCTGAATACATTTTTGTATTTGACTTTTTTTTCTGTATTACAGGACTTTGCCACTGTAATCTTTGGTTCAGTGTACATGGGTCATGGTGAGGTGTGCAATAGAGTGGGTGACCTGCCATTATCACAGGCACTGTGTCTGCCAGTCTCTGCAGAGGAGATAATTGATGCCTGTGACATGCTTCACACAACTCCTGAAGACATTGAGCAGGTGAGTCACTGCTGAGTGAACTGTCTGTCTGTCTTGTACTGTCTTGTTTATATCTTTATTGTAACACCGTTTAAATGGTTACCCACACTCATGTTCCATGGGTGCCTTTATTCTTGTTCCATGGTTGTGCCCAGACTCTTGTTCCATGGGTGCCCTCATTCTTGTTCCATGAGTCCCTTCATTTTTGTTCCATGGGTTCTCACACTCTTGTTCAATGGCTGCCTTCACTCTTGTTACATGGTTTTACCCACACTCTTGTTCCATGGGTGCCCACACTCTTGTTCCATGGGTGCCCACACTTCCATGGATGCCAATACTCTTGTTCCATGGGTTCCTTCATTCCTGTTCCATGGGTGCTTTCACTCAGAAAACAATATGAAGTTCAGTGATGAGAAATTTCAATTACTGTACTCCAATATGGTAAACATGAGGAAATTAAAACTTCATCAGAATACAAAACAAATTCCAGCCACAAAATAGAGTGAAAAACCAACGTCAAAGACCTGGGAGTGATCATGTCGAAGGATCTCACCCTCAAGGAAGATAACACTGTATCAATCGCATCTGCAAGAAAAATGACAGGATGGATAATGAGAACCTTCAAAACTAGGGATGCCAAGCCCATGATGACACTCTTCAGGCCGCTTGTTCTATCTAGGCTGGAATGTTGCTGCACACTAACAGCACCTTTCAAGGCAGGTGAAATTGCTGATCTAGAAAATGTACAGAGAACCTTCATGGCGCGCATAACGGAGATAAAACACCTCAGTTACTGGGAGCGCTTGAAGTTTCTGAACCTCTACTCCCTGGAATGCAGGTGGGAGAGATACATGATTATATACACCTGGAAAATCCTAGAGGGACTAGTACCGAACTTGCACATGAAAATCACTCACTACAAAAGCAAAAGACTTGGCAGACAATGCAACATCCCCCCAATGAAAAGCAGGGGTGTCACTTGCACGTTCAGAGACAACACAATGAGTGTCCGGGGCCCGTGACTGTTCAACTGCCTCCCAGCATACATAAGGGGGATTACCAATAGACCCCTGGCTGTCTTCAAGCAGGCACTGGACAAGCACCTAAAGTCGGTACCTGACCAGCCGGGCTGTGGCTCGTACGTTGGATTGCGTGCAGCCAGCAGTAACAGCCCGGTTGATCAGGCTCTGATCCACCATGAGGCCTGGTCACAGATCGGGCCGCAGGGGCGTTGACCCCCGGAACTCTCTCCAGGTAAACTCCAGGTAAAGTCTTGTTTCATGTGGGACCTTCACTCGTGTTCCATATGGGACCTTCACTGTTGTTCCATAGGTGTTTTCACTCTTGCTTCATTGGATGTGAAAAGTGAGCTATAATAAGTGTTTATACACCTGGAAAAGAAAGGAATGTAGAGGAGAGAGAGAGAGATTTTGGGAGATGTTAAGTGATTGTTTGGGAAGTTTTGAGCCAAGTGAGAGAGTAGTTGTGGTGGGGAACATGAATGTTAAAGTGAGAGAAATGGTTATAGAAGGTGTGGTAGGTAAGTTTGGGGTGCCAGGGGTAAATAATAATGGGGTCTTTGAACTTTGTATAGAAAAAGGTTTGGTAATAGGTAATACATACTTCAAGGAAAAAGAATGAATAAGTATACAAGATATATAGGTCTTAATGACAGTAGTTTGTTGGATAGTATATTAGTGGAGAAAAGTTTAATGAGTAGACTTCAGGACATTTATAGAGGGCAACAGATGTATCAGATCATTTAGTTGTAGCTACATTTAGAGTAAAAGGTAGATGAGGTACAAGGAGAATGATATCAGAAAGTAAGAGAGAGGTGAAGGTTGATAAGCTAAAGGAGGCAGTTAGAGTAAGATATAAGCCACTGTTGGTAGAAGAGGTATGGGTTAGATTTAAAAATGCAGTATTAGAGTATAAAGAGAGAGTGTAAGAATTATAGGGGTATAAGCCTGTTGAGTATACCTGGTAAAGTGTATGGTAGAGTTATTATTGAAAGAATTAAGAGTAAGACAGAGAGTAGGATTGCAGATGAACAAGGAGGCTTTAGGAAGGGTTAGGGGATGTGTAGACGAAGTATTTACAGTGAAGCATATAAGCAAACAGTATTTAGATAAGAGTCAAGAGGTTTTTGTTACATTTATGGATTTGGAAAAGCCATATGATAGGTTGGTTAGGGAAGCAATGTGGCAGATGTTGCAAATGTATGGAATAGGTGGTAGGTTACTGAAAGCAGTCAAAGAGTTTTTATGAGGATAGTGAGGCTCAAGTTAGAGTATGTAGGAGAAAGAGGGATATTATCTCCTAGTAAAAGTAGGCCATAGACAGGGATGAGTATACCTGGAGTTGTACCTGGAGAAAGTTTCAAGGGTCAACACCCCCGCAGCTTGGTCTGTGACCAGGCCTCATGGTGGATCAGGGCCTGATCAACCAGGCTGTTACTGCTGGCCACACATAATCCAGTGTACGAACCACAACCCGGCTGGTCAGGTACTGACTTGATGTTACATGGCTGTTCGATATATTTATAGATGGGGTTGCAAGAGAAGTGAATGCTCAGGTGTTGGCAAGAGGTAGAGGATTATAAATTAAGAATCTAACACAAAGTGGGAGTTGTCACAGATGTTTTTTGCTTTTGGAAATTTCTGAAGAGAAGTTGCAGAGGTTGGTGGATGAATTTGGGAGGGTATGTAACAGAAGGAAATTAAAAATGAACATAGGAAGGTGATGAAGATAACAAAAAGTATGGGTAATGAAAGATTGGATATCAAATTAAAGGGAGGGAGTATAGAGGAAGTGAATGAGTTCAGATAGTATTTGGGAGTGGATTTGTCAGCAATGGATCTATGAAAGACAAGGTGAACTATAGAATTGATGAGGGAAAAAAGGTGAGTGGAGCACTGAGGAGTCTGTTGAGACAAAAAACAAAGAGGGAAATGCATGAGAGTATAGTACAGTGGACCCTCGGTTATCAGCTGTTCCACTTATCGGCCAACTCGGTTATCGGGTGGTTTATCGGCTTCCTGTTATTGGCTGTTATTTCACTTATCGGTCTTATGGGACTCATCAACCCACCGCCGCCAGCCGCTCGCGCATCAGTCTGGCTGTATATCTGGGTGAGTGAGGAAGCTTCTGCTCATTCGTCCAAACATTTCACTATAATCCATTGTTTTTGGTGGTTATTTATTAAGTGCAACTGCGAAATAAGCAACCATGACCCCAAAGAAAGTTCCTAGTAAAGTTCCTTTGGTAAAGAAAGTGAGAAACAGGATGGAATTTAAGAAAGAAATTGTAGCAAACTACAAGAGTGGTGGTAGTAGAGGGTGATAGTGGTTGTGATGGTGGTAGAGGTTGGTTGTGATGATGGTAGTGATGGTGGTAGTGATGGTGGTAGTGATGGTGGTAGAGGGTGACAGTGATGGTGGTAGTAGTAGTAGTAATGGTGGTAGTGGTTGTGATGGTAGTAGTGGTGGTGGTAGAGGGTGGTTGTGGTTGTGAGGGTGGTAGAGGGGGTAGTGATGGTGATAGTGGTTGTGATGGTGGTAGAGAGTAGAGCTGCAAGACCTTCATCTAGAACAGCAACAGACCACAGCTTAGGAAATTGCTTCAGAGGAGGAGGAAGAGAGAAGGGAGAATGTGTCTTCTTCAATGATTAAGGACATGTGTGCAAAGTTTAGTGAGTTGCAGGGGTACAGTGACTCTCAAGCCTCTCTCCTCCTCCTCATCTTCCATAAGCCAAGAAGAGTCTTCAATAAAGGTACGTATGTAATACTAGTTTAATTGTTCATGTATTTATTTTATTTAGTTCTTATTGTTTTGTGTATGTAAAACTTTAACTAACCTTTAAAAAATTATTTTTTTCAATATTTTTGTGTGTCTGGAATGAATTAATTGTATTTACATTAATTCTTATGGGAAATATTATTTCGGTTTTCAGCCATTTTGGTTTTAGGCCGAGCTTCTGGAACGGATTACGGCCGATAACCGAGGGTCCGCTGTAATATCAACACTTATTTGGGTGTGAAGCATGGATGGTGAATGTTGCTACAAGGAGAAAGCTGGAGGGAGTGGAGATGTTGTGTCTGAGGGCAGTGTATTGTGTGAATATTGTGCACAGAGTCTGTAGCTTGGAGATTAGGAGGAGGTGCAGGTTACTAAAAGTATTATTCAGAGGGCTGAGGAGGGGTTGTTGAAGTCTTTCTTTCTTTCCAGAGGATGGAACAATTAGAGTGACTTGGAGGGTGTATACATAAAGGTGGTAACCCTACAGATTTAAACAACTATAGGCCAATATCAAACTTACCATTGCTATCCAAAATCTTTGAGAAACTAGTGCACAGGAGACTATATTCATTTATAACGGCACAAAACATACTCAACCCCTGCCAATTTGGATTCAGAAAAAAATAAAAGCACTTATGATGCAATTATAAAAATGCTAGATCTGCTTTACACAGCATTAGAAAATAAGGAATATCCACTAAGAATTTTTATTGACCTAAGAAAAGCTTTTGACACAGTAGACCACGGCATCCTACTCCACAAACTTGACCATTATGGTATAAGAGGCCATGCGCTTGCATATTTCAAATCTTGCCTTACTAGTAGGTATCAGTATGTCACCATTAAAGACACAGCATCAACAACACGGCCACTTGATACTGGAGTTCCACAGGGAAGTGTCCTTGGTCCCCTGCTCTTCCTCATTTACATCAGTGATCTTCCAAACATATCCCAACACCTGAAACCCATTCTCTTTGCTGACGACACGACCTATGTCATCTCTCACCTTAATCTTGCCACCCTCAACACCATTGTTAACGAGGCGCTGATCAAAATATCGACTTGGATGACAGCCAATAAACTTACGCTTAGCACTGACAAAACCTACATTATTATGTTTGGTAGCAGAGCAGGAGTTGCGCAAATTAACATTAAGATCGACAACACTCTAATTGCCAGACATAATGAGGGCAAATTCCTAGGCCTATACCTCGACAACAACCTGAATTTCAGCACCCATATCCAACACATAACCAAAAAAGTATCCAAAACGGTTGGGATCCTCTCCAAGATATGATACTACGTGTTGCAAACTGCCCTTCTCACACTATACCACTCACTCATTTATCCATACCTCACCTATGCTATTTGTGCTTGGGGATCAACTGCAGCAACACACCTAAAGCCAATAATAACCCAACAAAAAGCTGCAGTAAGAATAATCACTAAATCCCATCCCTGGCAACACCCCCCCCCCCCACTCTTCATAGATCTAAACTTACTCCCTGTTCAGTACATCCACACTTACTACTGTGCAATCTACATCTACAGGACCTTAAATTCCAATATTAACCTTGACCTAAAATGCTTTCCTGATAGTTGTGACAGAACCTACAGGCATAACACCAGACACAAACATCTCTATGACATTCCCCGTGTCCGACTAAACCTTTACAAAAATTCAATGTATGTCAAAGGCCCTAAAATCTGGAACACCCTACCTGAAAACTCTAGAACTGCAGACACATTCATCACCTTCAAAACTGCCATTAGAAAACATCTTATCTCCCTGATACATCCTGCCAACTAATTACACGAATACCACCTGGTGGTTCACACTTACACTCACTCACCCATTTGACCATAAACAGAAATATCAATCTCAACCTTATAATAATGAATCCTAACTAGTCATAAGTTGGCCTGTGATACTCCAATACTGAAACTATGTATTGTGCCAAAACAAAAGCATTCACATTACTAAACTCACAAACTAGTATTTAGTCACTTAGCCATAATACCAACTTACCTCATAATTTGTAATATTTTAAAGTTAAGAATTAATCTAAGTCTGCCCGAAATGCCCAGCCATGCTAGGTGTTCTAGTGGCCCCCTCTGTAATTAGTATTTTACTACATGTAAACCACACAATAACCAAATTCTGTAAACTCAGCATTGTAATCCTTATAGAGAATAAACTTTGAATTTGAATTTGAAGGTGGGGTAGGGGTTGTCCTAGGAAAGGTTGGAGGGAGTGGGTAAAGGAGGTTTTGTGTGTGAGGGACTTAGACTTCCAGCAAATGTGTATCAGCATGTTAGAATGGAGCAAATGGTTTTTATGACTTGACATGCTGTTGGAGTGTGAGCAAAGTAACATTTATGAAGGGATTCAGGTAAACCAGCCTTGAGTCCTAGAGGTGGGAAGTACAGTGCCTACACTCTGAAGGAGGGATGGATATATGTTGCAGTTTTCCAAGTGTAGCATAGGCATGCTTTTTGCAACACAGTGATGGAGTGAATGATGATGAAAATGTTTCTTCTTTTTCGGGTCACCCTGCCTTAGTGGGAAGCTGCCGATGTGTTAAAATAATAATAATTACAAACCATGGTACAGGTGTGGATTGAACTCATGGCTAGTGAGTCATAAAAACTTGCATTTGTGGTCTCAGTGGTGCCCCATGCTAATCTTCCTATGGTATATAAATATACCTAGTTAGATGACTTATTGTAGCCAGCTGGCCAAGTGGCTTAGACACTGGCCTGAAGTTTTACGACTCACTTGCTGCAAGTTCAGACCCAAGTGTATCATTACGATTTTGTAAGTCATAATAATTACAATTGTGTAGAATTATTATGTTGATGTAAACTCATTTCAGGTTGGGTTTTTCTTGATAGACTGTCGACCGAGTGACCAGTACAATGCAGGTCACCTGCCTAATGCCTTCCATCTTGACTCCAGCTTGGTGAGTTACTTCTCATTATATTGTTTACTCTACTAGCAATACTCATCCAGTTACACACTTGCTAGTTGAGTTTGTGCTCTCGACGATCATTCTTTTGATGATGGATTATTGATGACTCTTTATTGTTAGATGTGCAGTTGTACTATCACAGTGTTAGTACAGTTGTATTATCACAGTGTTTGTTCAGTTGTGCTATCATGGTGTTAATATAGTTGTATTATCACAGTGTTTGTACACTTATATAGGGTACAGTTATACTATCAGTGTACAGATACACTGTGACAATGTACATCATGTACATTGTGATGGTCAACTGAACTGCAGATTCACTTGTTTGTTGCTGAGTGTGTTTTCTGTTCCACCTCTGAGAGTATATAATACAGTAGACCGTTATATTATACAGTTATTTTCCTGAAAATGCCACGTTAAGTAAATCCGTGTTAGACAAACTGAAGAACTTATGGGTAAAATAGGGTTACGTTCCTGGGATCCCCAAAAAAGCCAAGTAACTTTTTTTTTAGCTCTCCAGATCTTAAAAAATTAAAGTGAATATGTAATTGTAGTTCATTGTCGTGATGTATTATGTTTTTTTACTGCATAAGACTACAAATGCAACAGAAATAATAGTATTTCTTACCTTAAATTGTGGGTGCTGGTGTTTGTCAATGATTGTGAAGAGAGTGGAGTTACGCTGTGGCCCTACTGGGCTGAGGTGGATGGTAGAGGTTCTATTACTGAAGTCGATGGTTGTACTGGAGTGTGCATAAATTCTGTAATAGATTTCTTGGCTGTTTTTCCCTGCATTACATTTTACAGCTGATGGTAAGGTATCAGCTGCTCTAGACACCGTTTCACAGCATTGCTTCTAGATTTGTCAGGATCCTCTTCAGTGAAAAAGTCTAACTTTAAATCGGTAAGTCAGTCAGTAAATCAGTCAAGTAATTCAGTCAAATAAATCAATCAGGTAAGTCAGTCACGTAAGTCAGTCAAGTCAGTGAGTCAAGTCAGTGAGTCAAGTTAGTCACGTATATCAGTCAAGTCAGTCAAGTCAATCAATCAAGTCAGTCAGTCAGTTATTCATCACACACTCATATATTTACCTCATTCTGTTTAATTGTATGAACTGATGCTGCATTAAGGCCACAGGCTGTCTTTTGTCTAATATCTCTATTTTCTTTCTTCATTAATTCTAAGACTTAAATGCTTATACCTTTTCTTGCCACTTTCAGCAACACTCATATGCCTACAGGATGCCATGACTGCTTGGCAGATACAAGATATGGCAATTAAAAGATCAAAACACATTTCACAAACATAGTTAACTCATAAGACAATGGAACTAAATGCATATTCACGAAGGCTGCGATGGTGGGAGTGTTGGGGGTGACAGGGGATGGTGGTAGGTCTCCCCTGCTGACCCACAACATGGCTGCAGCTTGTGCTGTGGAAATTTTTTCCGCTCCCACAAACGGAACCATGTTAAGTTAATTTTACGAAGTGTTGTATAAAACTGTGTTGCAATTTTTCAATAGTGCAATAACCAAAATGTGGCAAATAAATCCATGTAATATGACGGTCTACTGTATGTTGACTACAGTAGAAGAATTTCCTAAGATATTGTGTGTTTGAGGATATAGTACTCCATCAGACATAAGAACATAAGAAAGAAGGAACACTGCAACTGGCCTACTGACCCATGCAGAGCAGGTCCATACCCCCCCCCCCCCCCCGGATTAGACCAATGACCCTCTTCCCCCCGGATTAGCCCAGTGACCCACCCAGTCTGGTCATCACCACTCAAGGATGGAGCACTGCACCAGACCCAGTAGCACAAGCTAGTCAGGTCCAACTCACACCCACCCACACCCACTCATGTATTTATCTAACCTATTTTTAAAACTACACAACGTTTTAGCCTGAATAACTGTACTTGGGAGTTTGTTCCACTCATCCACAACTCTATTACCAAACCAGTGCTTTCCCATATCCTTCCTGAATCTGAATTTTTCCAACTTGAAACCTTTGCTGCGAGTCCTGTCTTGGCTGGAAATTTTCAGCACACTATTTACATCCCCTTTATGTGAACAGTATTTAGATAAAGGTAGGGAAGTTTTCATTGCATTTATGGATTTAGAAAAGGCATATGATAGAGTGGATAGGGGAGCAATGTGGCAGATGTTGCAAGTATATGGAATAGGTGGTAAGTTACTAAATGCTGTAAAGAGTTTTTATGAGGATAGTGAGGCTCAGGTTAGGGTGTGTAGAAGAGAGGGAGACTACTTCCCGGTAAAAGTAGGTCTTAGACAGGGATGTGTAATGTCACCATGGTTGTTTAATATATTTATAGATGGGGTTGTAAAAGAAGTAAATGCTAGGGTGTTTGGGAGAGGGGTGGGATTAAATTATGGGGAATCAAATTCAAAATGGGAATTAACACAGTTACTTTTTGCTGATGATACTGTGCTTATGGGAGATTCTAAAGAAAAATTGCGAAGGTTAGTGGATGAGTTTGGGAAAGTGTGTAAAGGTAGAAAGTTGAAAGTGAACATAGAAAAGAGTAAGGTGATGAGGGTATCAAATAATTTAGATAAAGAAAAATTGGATATCAAATTGGGGAGGAGGAGTATGGAAGAAGTAAATGTTTTCAGATACTTGGGAGTTGACATGTCGGCGGATGGATTTATGAAGGATGAGGTTAATCATAGAATTGATGAGGAAAAAAAGGTGAGTGGTGCATTGAGGTATATGTGGAGTCAAAAAATTTTTATCTTTTAAAGGGAAAAGAGGGAATGTAAAAAAATTTATAGTAGTCCCAAAAACCCTTGATGGGGGGTGAAGCTTGGGGGTAAATGCAGCAGCGAGGAAAGGGTTTGGGAGGCAGGGGAAAAGTCCTGTCTAAGGGAAAGGGTGGTGTAAATACTGCAGAAAATTGGGAGTGGGGGAAATTTAAAGGAAAAAAGGTGGGGGAGTTAAAAAAAGGGAAATTAGCCCCGGGGGGCAGAAGAGGGGGTTTTTTTGAGGTGGTTTGGCCCATTTAGAGAGAAGGGATCAAAGTAAAAAAAGACAGGGAAAAGGGCTTATAAAGTTGGGGGAAAGGGAAAGGGCCGGGGAAAGGGGTCATCCCCCAAAAAGGGGTTTTGGAGAAGGGGATAAAGGAGGTTTTGTGGGCAAGGGGCTTGGATTTTCCAGCAAGCGTCCCGTGAGCGTGTTGATAGGAGTGAATGGAGACGAATGGAAAATTGGGACCTGAGATCTTTTTGGAGTGTGAGCGGGGGTAATATTAGGAAGGGATTCAGGGAAACCGGTTTTTTTTTCATATTTTTTCCGGACGGGAGTCCTAAAAATGGGAAATTTACAAGGGCCTGCACTTTAAAGGGGGGGTTTTTGGGATTTTGGGCAGTTTGGAGGGATATTTTTGCGTATCTTTATAGGGTATATGCTTCTAAACTTTTTTGTATTCTGGGGCACCTCTGCAAAAAAAGTGTTTATGTGTGATGTGGTGAAAGTGGAATGATAAAGGAAAAGCATTTTTTTTTTGGGGTTTTTTCTTTCTTTTTGGGTCCCCCTCCCCTGGGTGGGAGACGGCCAACTTGTTAAAAAAAAAAAAAAAAAAAATCATACCCCCTCTAATTCAACCCTTTTGAGAGAGTGAAATTTAAAGGGGCCCCTCACCCTATCCTCATAGGGAAGTTTTCCCTGATACAGGGGATCATCTTTTCATCCTCCTTTTTGTAGGGTTTTCCCAGAGCTTTTTACATCCATTTTAATACGGGACCAAACTGAGCAGCATAGCCCTAAATGGGGCCCAAACCCAAAGGTATTTTCGAGTTGAAGAAAAACCCTGAGGACTGCTTTAATTTATATTTCTAGAAAATGAACCCCAAGTTTTCTGTTAGTTTTTAATTGCAACACGGGGGGATCACGTTTTTTGGGTTTTTTAAAAATTACTGCTAACCAAACTCCAAACCCTTTTGGGGGGGGGGGAATCGGGATATTAAGATCTAAAATATTTTATTTATATGTGGAAATGGTTATTTAACTGCCCCAACATTTAAAAATTTTGGGCTTTTGGGCCAATTAATAAACTGCATCTGCCACTTCTCCACCATTCATCAGTCTATTCAAATCATCCCGGAGTGCTCTAGTGTCCTCATTAAATGAATTGGAGGGCCTATTTTGGTGTCATCAGAAAATTTTTGGTTTAATTTTCCGCATTTTTAACCCTCATCTATGTCGTTTATGTAAATTGTGAAAAACAACGGGCCCAACACTGACCCCCTGAGGAACACCGCTTTGACGTGGCCCCATTCGTTTTCCTCCCCATTTATGAAACCCCTCGGGTTTTGTCTATTTGTCACCCAAATGCCCCCGCCCGGGAAAAAAATTTTCTCCTCCTTTTCCGTGTCCCCTTAAAGTTTTCCTCAATAGCCTCTGGGGGGAACTCTATCGAAACCCTTTTACTGAAGTCCAAAATACACAATACCCAAAATTCAAAAACCATGACCCTACCTCCTCAAACACCTTAGGAAAAAATTTAGAAAATTCGTAAGACAGGAACGCCCCTTTAAATTAAATTAATCATCTGTGCCTGTCAAATGGGCAAACGAATTCCCTTCGGAAATTTTTTTATTCCAAAAATTTTTTCCCACTATGGGGTTAAGGCTTATTGGTCTATATTTTCGAACCCAAGGGCCTTGTCACCTCCCTTTTGTAAATAGGTATTCCATTTGCATGAAACTTGCACACTTGCATGAAAAAATAAAACATGCCACACATGAATACATCCACACCCCTTAATACACACATAAACACAGGAATAAAACACACATAAACACATAAACATGCACACATAAACAAAAGAATAAAATCACACACACATGACACATAAATACATCACACACACATGACACATAAAATACAGCACACAAAACTTTGAACACATGAAATAAAAGAAACCCCACACATGACACATGAATACATGAAACAACACATCACATAAA